GTGGGGGTGGGGGGGTGTCAATTAAATAAAGAGTGGGCCCCTTCCACAGGATGACAGCTCAGTATTTTCACAATTTGAAGAAATGTCAAAGAAAATGACGCCCTCCTCTGAACTCTGCAATTAAAACTCAAGTAGTTAATGAGCCCTCTTCACCTTTTGGTTAAGTCTCTCTCCCCCCCCCCCCCCCCCCACCACCCCAAGGCTTGATATTAATTGCTGTTATTAAATAAATCAATCCTCTTCTCCTCGAGACCTCGCGCTGGTTTTCTTGATTGACGCGTCTTTTCCCATGACCGCAGCGGGCGCGCGCGCATTTTTCTTGTTGTTATCGCGCGCGCGTGAAGTTTTGCCTCGAGTGTTGTCTGTTTTTCTAAGTAATGGCTATCTTTCCCTTCTAAATGCCATTGTGGTTTCATCCGCCGCGTTGTCATGGTGAAAAGTGAAAGGCATGATATGGATGGGGGGAGCGGGGGGGGGGTGGGGGGGGACTTTTAAGGCAGCTGCAGCCGCGCACTGACACGCGCCGACATCCTCCCGTCATGCGTGAGGACTGCAAGGGAGACGGAGAGCTGCTGGACAAGTCCACGGAGGACAGGAGGGACATCCTGGTAGGCTGATCAGGATTTATGCACAGCAGCGGAACAAAAGCGGAACTGAGAGTTCTTTTAAATGTTTTGGTTGTTTGAGGCGAAGAAAGCTCTAATCTACTCTAATCTACTCTAATCTACTCTAATCTGTCAGTTTAATGCGCGAGGAATAATAACTTTGTGGTTGTTGTCGAGTTTAAAAGCATAGTAAAATAAACTTTTATTGTTTTATTTGAAATGGTTATGGCACATTGAGGGCAAATCCGTGCGTAATATTTTTAAATTACATTATCTGCCTTTTGTTTAAACGTTACTCTCCTTTCGTGTTTAAAATCATGTCGCGGGATTAAAAGTTAAAAACGAGCCCTGGTGGCCACTTTCACAGTTCACGGAACGCGCACTGTCCCGTCGTTTTTATTGCATAAATAACAAAAAGATAAACTCTGGTCCTATTGTAAACTTTTTTTAATTTATTTTTTTATTATGTCTGAAATGTGTGCGGGGGTTCCGACACATCAGTTGTGCGCGCGTGCTCTGCGCTGTCTGTAGACGCTCCTGTGCGTAAAACTGCGCGCTGTCCGCAGGGCGCGCAGCTGGAGGTGTTGGATGAAGACACTTCGTCCCCGCGGGACATGCCATCCGCGCCTCTGCTGGGCAGGAGCGTGTGCGCGAGCTGCAACGAGGAAATAGTGGATAAATACTTATTAAAGGTAAACACTTTCTTTTATTTATGTTTGTTTGTTTCTAGTTCTTTTTCCGAGTTCATTTGAATGTTTTCGTTCCCTTTGGCGTTTTCTTTTGGATAACTGTGATGTTTTGGTATTTATTACCCCCCCCCCCCCCCCCCCCCCCCACCCCCCACACACACACACACCCACCCATCTCCACGCTGTAGGTGAACGACCTGTGCTGGCATGTGCGCTGTCTCTCGTGCAGCGTGTGCCAGACTTCACTTGGCAGCCACGCGAGCTGCTACATCAAAGAGAAGGAGGTGTTCTGCAAACTGGATTACTTCCGGTGCGTGCATGCGTTTTTCTGAGCACGAAGTAAAAGGGAGGCTCCGTCACAGGATCCAAATCAATGCAGAAAATTAAACTACTTAAAAAAATAAATAAAAAAATCACATAAAAAATAAAAAAACAATAGATTTTTTTTTCTTCCATTTGGCTGTGAGAATAAAAAGTGAAAAGATGAGTTAATGTTGAATCATTAATAAAAAAATACAAAAGACCTAAATAATTATTGAATAAAATATCGGTTTAAAGTGATTTTAACTGAACGGAACAGGTCAGTATTTGTCTTTAATTCAATGAAATGAGGCTCGACTCCTCCCTGCAGAAGATACGGCACGTGGTGCGCGTGCTGCGGCCGGAACATCCACTCCACAGACTGGGTCCGCCGGGCCAAGGGCAACGTCTATCACCTGGCGTGCTTCGCCTGCTTCTCCTGCAAGAGGCAGCTCTCCACCGGGGAGGAGTTCGCCCTGGTGGAGGGGAAGGTGCTCTGCAGGGTCCACTACGACTGCATGCTGGACAACCTGAAGAGGGCCGTGGAGAAAGGTGCACCGGCACAAACAGGAAAACATTTCTAGTTATTTCCACACTCGTCTAATGTGAACGTTCGCTGCAGGAAACGGAGTCAACATGGAGGGAGCTGTGCCCACAGAGCAGGAAATAAACCAGCCCAAACCCTCCAAGAGAGCCCGAACCAGCTTCACTGCCGACCAGCTGCAGGTTCGCACACAAACAAGTAGAAATACAATAAAACCATGCATACAATAATAATAATAATTTAAAAAAAATCATACAAAAAAAACAAAAACATTTTAATATATGTTGGGTGAAATTTTAGTACAATTTTTTGGGGAGCAGCCGCAGAAAAACAGGCTTTTTGTTTGTTTTGTTTTTAAAGAAAACTTTAAATTAGATCCATTTAACAAAACCTGTTTAAAACAATTTATTAAATAATATGATTCTGTTAAATGACTGAATCAGGTGTTGTTTTGTCAAAGCTGCTTATATTTCTACAGCAGGAGGCCTGCAGCA